AATATCATAAATCTAATGATATCAATATAATATAGTTTACTTACTTAAACCCATATATCATCATTTCAATTATGTCGTAATAACGAACATTAAAGCTAAGCTACTGATTGTGAATATCACCCTAAAACAATAAAATGCAAACTAACTTATTTATGATAATACACTAGAACCTCATTCTTAAATGTTGGATTATCAAATGGCACACATTTGTCAATAATTACTCACAAAAGTTTGTCTCCCACAATCCTGCCGCTACTATCCATTCTAAATTCCCATCCAAACCTTAATTATAAAACAATAATTATCACTCCTACTATTGATAACTACACTTCACCCTAACACTACTGCCAATGCACACTCGTTCTTTCCAATGTCTCATCTAATTACAATACTATAATAATCATCATAATTATCGCCTAACATTCACTCACTAAAATTGGGCAAACAACATATTCAATAGATAAGACAAATGGATAATTAATGCATCCCAAGGATTTCCACTCAATTGATATAAACCCATTACATATTACTTAAGGAAATCGAAGAGATGAAGCATTACCTGGATGGCAGTCGCTTCTGGTTGACGCCGCAGGTAGTGTTTCTCTCGTTAGTGCTTTTTTATTTATCTAGGGTAACTAATTATGAACTAATAAATCTTAAAATCTTACTAATTTTAATGCTATCTTCTTTAACCACCAACTAAATTCATTATTAAAACAACCCTACTAATTTCATATTGTAGTTACAAATAGTCCAAAATACCTATTTAGAATCTATCGAAAAGTATTTTATGAAATCAAAAGCTCTAGTACTCAAGACGACCAAACGGGTCGTTACAATACAACAAATTGAGTGATTATTTAAATAAATAACTTCAATTATCACTAAAGTAGTTCCTTCTGGATACATAAAATCAGAAAATTCTAGAAGAATTTAATTTTAAAAAAATTCTTTTTTAGTATAGGAGGTACTATTTTATTTCATAAGCAAAAGGTTACCACGGGAGGCCAAACCTTACCTCATACGAATCTAAAAATTAGAAACTTCTATTAACAATTTTTGAAGAAATTTTTAGAAATATCCATCTTTTTTGAAAAAATTAGAAACATATGCAGATTAGTGAAAGTTGAATAATTTACTAAATTTTACCTAATCAACTTTAAATTACAATGCGTAATAAATTTTGAACATTTGAGGTATTTATAGGCGGGGAGAAAAAACGAAAAGAAAATGAAAATAGAAAGAAGGACCGACCCGGAAGCCCAACCCAAAATCCCTAACCTGTTCTTCCTCAAATCCCTTCTTGGAATCTGAGGGCTTTCTCACAATTGGTAGAGCTTTTTCCCAATGCTGCTGCGGACTGTCATTGTTACAACTCTTTCTCTCCGCTCATCCACAACAGGTATGTTTCTTGCAAATTAATCCCTAAACTAATTCGATATTGTTTACTTTATTTTGATTTATGTAAAAGAAATTGTTACTACGATCGATCTCCGAAAGAGTATAAAATAGTGTGTATGAGTTTGTAACTTACAAAAGATAGTGGACAACAGTTTGGATCAGTAAGAGTGCACTAATGGTGTAAAAGAATGTATTTTTGTAGTTTCAGTAGATATAACTTGAATTCTGTATACATGAATGGAAAGATGAACAATTTTGTTTCTGCTACTCCTTGTCTTGTCATATTATTCTCGACAATTTGAGAAAATGTGCCCACATTGGGGGATGCGGTGTAAAATTTCAAAAATGTTTTCTTCTAGGCGTTTTGCCCTTCATAGGATTAAAATGTTTGTTACTGTTTTGGACTTCTGTTAGTGATTGGGTCAAAATCATCGAATTTGATCAATTGAAGGTTAAGGTTAGTTGATTATTGTTATTTCCCCCTTCAAAGAAACTACTTTCCTCTCAATTTTAATATTCGCATGTTAAGAAAGCTATTATTGGTCTTTTTAAGCTTGATCGGTAGTCACACAAAGATTGAAAGAAGTTAGTAAAAATAATGCCGACTTAATTAGTAACAACTAAACATTTATTCCATATATGTACATAAGCGGTTTAACTCCCTTGTTTTAATTTTCAAGACAAGATAAAGTTGGACATGTGTTCCTCTCTTGTGTTGTTTCTCTGTTCCTCCCATGTTGATGATCTCTTGTTTTACCCCAAGCATTGACACAAAGATGGAGCTTCTTGCTAGCTATGAGAAAATCCACAGCTTGAAGTGGACTCAGTATGTTGATCACCAGCTCCTTCAAAGTCTCCATCCTCAGCTTATCAGCTTCTTCTACAACATTCATCAAAAACTTAGCATGTCTATCAAGGGCCTCCTCTGCTTCATAACATATTTCACCAAGATTTCCCACTTCATTGGCGATAATGGTGAATGGCTGATCAGCTATCTCCTCCTGCAAGCTGGCGAGCTTATTTGACAACTGGTCTTCTTGCCTTATTGTCTTCCTCTGTAACTCATCCACTGAATTCAGCTGCACGGTCAAGAGCCCGCTGAGGTGTCCGGATCTATTGCCTTGGAGATAGTTGGAGAGATGGGATTCAAATTCTTTGCCACTCATCGCATAAAGGAGACGGATGTAACTGGAAGGCCTGCATCCAGAGATCCAAAGCATAGAGCTTTCTAACGTGGTGCACCAAGTAGGTGCAAGGTAGGCAGTGACATCACTACCTGCTAAATGTCTGCGGGTGTCCATGTATTCTTGGAAGTGTTTGATGGATTTCTCAATGAGTTGTTTTAGATTGAAGTCGCTGCTGGCGCTCGTGTTGGATGTGCTGGACGACGACGACGACGAGTCGGAATTGTGGAGGAGCTCCAAGAGGTCTTGTTGTTGGAGCTCCATCCATTCTTGAAAGCACGAGTGTTGAGCTTCTTTATCACTTACATTATTATTCAAGGAAGTCATCTTACTCTAATTTGCGCGTCAATGTGTTAGAGATACTTCTTTGCTTTCGATACTAATTTATAGAAAGAAAACCAAAAATATTTTGTTTGCATAATAATTAATCTTCGAACTCGTCACAGTAACCAAACCAATAATTTTGTATGCACTAGTCTGGCACTATGTACGTATATCTTTCTTTTTTTAGGTGTACGGATCTAATTTTATTTTTATGCCAAACACTTCAATTAAAATAATGTTTATGCCAAGTCCGAATGTATTTATTTACTGTCATTGTTTCAGATGCCGAATTGTACATGAAATTAAAGTAATAATCTCGGGGCAGATGGAGTGATTGTAGACTTATAAAGTTGAACATTTTTTGGTTGTTACTGAGAGCCAGTAAACGACACTGCACACTGCACACTGCACAGCCACCTCTTATAGATATTCTATAATTCGGGCTTTCGGGTAAAGCCAAAGAAGCACGGGCAAAAGTAATACGTAAAATATTGGAGTCTGAAATCAAAAGGGTAATAATTTTTTTCGAAAATTTTAAAAATGCAATTCAATTAATTATGAAACCAAAAGGGTAACAATTTTTAACGCCGTGTAAATTAGGTTTTCTAAAACGAGGCTCAAGTTCCGATGAGCCTTACAAGGCACAACAATTTTTTAGCCTTGTAAGGCTCAGCCGCCAATGAGCCTTACAAGGCGCAAGGCTGTCAGCGCCTTGCAGGCTGTTATTTTTTTTAAAAAATCTCATTTTATTATCTTATTTGTTAAAAGTCTAATAATAATAATTGTCACTTAAAGTTTTAGTTGTCAAACTTAAAATCTTATAACAATAAATATATTTTCATTATTGGAATTGAAAAGTGGCTATTGTGATTTTCACCTTAATTAAAGCAAGGAAAAATATTATAAGGTCTAATAATGGTTAAACTAAAAATTAAATTGAATTTATTCTGTTCGTATGATATATATTTTTATACCTTATGTATTTTGATATATTGCATTAAAAAGAAACAAATGAAAATGTGATCTTCGATCTAGGAAACAACAATCCCAATTTGCATTGCATGAATAGAAACAATTTCTACGTTTGATTTTGAGTTTTGAAGTTGTGTTCAGACTTCATATATGTATTTTATTTTTAAAAAATTGAAGTAGAAGTTTCAAAAAACTAGGACGATCTAATTTTTCAGAATTTAAAATTATTTGAAGATGAAAATTTTAAAATCTAACTCAAATTTCACGGTCATATTTGAAGATAAATTTTAAAATCTACTCCCAGCATTTATGACCAAGGTTGGTAACTTGAATGTTGTTTTGCTTATTTATATGCAGTTTGAATTTTGTAAGCTAATATGAATCAACGTATATCGAGACAAAACTAGGCCAATCACGAAAAGATTAGGAAATTTATGAGAAAAATATTAACGACCAAAATTTAATTTTTTCATTATTTTTATTTTAGAGATAAATTATTTATTATATGAGTTTTTGCTAAAATCATGATTAATCGGTTCGTTAACCCCATGAAAGAAAATTTTAACAAACAAGATAATAAAATGAGATTTTTTTTTTAAATAACAGCATGCAAGGCGCTGATAGCCTTGCGCCTTGTAAGGCTCATTGGCGGCTGAGCCTTACAAGGCTAAAAAGCTGTTGCGCCTTGTAAGGCTCATCGGAACTTGAGCCTCGTTTTAGAAAACCTAATTTACACGGTGTTAAAAATTGTTGCCCTTTTGGTTTCATAATTAATTGAGTTGCCCTTTTGAAATTTTCGAAAAAAATTGTTGCCCTTTTGGCTCCGGACTCTACAATATTGATGCTGAACATAAATAAAAAGGAATAAGATCTGATATACTTCTCCAATTTGTCATTTAGAGCTGATATATATTCCTCGTTATGAAAGTGACTCATATATATCCTTACCGTTATACAAATGACTTACATATAACCTTATCGTTACAAAATGAGCTCACATATACCCCTCATCTAATGGAAGTGAAAAAAAATAGTTTTAAATTTATTTTTTTAACTTTAAATTACAAGAAAATTAGTGGAACATAAATAAATTTGACCATCAAATTAATAAATATAAATTAGTCGTTGAGACAAAAAAGTAAAAAAAAAATATATATATGTATGGGGAGGATCAAATATACTCCATATGGATTATATTTTTTTCAAAAAAATAATTAAAAGATTAAATTAAAATTAATTTTTTCACTTTTGTTAGAAGAAAATGGTATATGTGAGTCATTTGTATAACAATAGGGATATATGTGAGTCATTTGTATAGCAATAAGAATATATATGAGTCACTTTCATAACGAGAATATATCAACTCTACAAAGTTGAGGGGAATATTAGACTTCTTTCCCTAAATAAAATAAAAGTAAGTAGTAACAAAGTTATCAAAACGAGAATTGTGTTTTGAAAGCGATTTTGATACGACGATGGTGAAAAGTGCAAACTATTTAGACTGCCTCACGTATGTCTCACACAAGAATAGTATAATACTAACAATTTCTAAAAAAATTGTCTCGATGAAAAGAATAATTTTTTCAAAAAATTAAAATTTATAAGATCTTACCTAAAATCAACAAATGTTAAAGAGAGATTGAATGTACTATAAATAGAGAGTAATATATTAACTTGAAGATACATCTTTTAAATTCTATAAACTTATGAAATAATATTCACAAAAACAATTTATAAGATGTGATCAGATTCTTCTTGACAAATACTAGTAAAATACTTTAAGAAGATCTAAAATACTCTCTTAACGGAGATCTACATCATCCTAGTCGATAAACACATTGCTTCAATTCTCGACTTACAAAAATAATAAAAAGAGAATAATAATAAAATAAAAAAAATTGTACCCAAATTGTTTATTAATAAAATTTTATTTTTTCATATTTATTTTCTAATTAGAGTCATTTTTCATATCATAAAAATATGTTGCAAACACATGCACAATCAAATATCTTTGCATCATGTCAAATCAAATGGTATAATAAACATCGAGACAATAACCGTTATAGATATCACCAAAATTTTGCATAGATCAGTGAGTAGTTAGTCCTGCTCAACCGATCGTAACAACTGGTTGATCTGGACCTTGTAATAAATACTGGAATGGTCTCAAATATATGAACCACCAAGTATGCATTCAGCCCATTTATATTGGGAAATGGATTAGCTAGTTCCAAGATATCCATATTTTAAAAAAATGGACGAAGGGAAATTAAAATTGGGAAGGGGATAACAAGGTAAGAATGGAACCCTCATCAACCGGATGAAAGTTCAGATAACCAATCAACCGAGCTACTAAAATTTTCCGAATGGATAAAACCTAACATTTACTATAGTGCGTGGATGAATATTTATGTACTAGACTAGGGCCTAGGGTACGTCCATGGATACTTTCGTTACTAGAAATACTGGTTAACATCATTTTTTTTTAATAAAAAAAACAATATAAAAAAGGATGGATACCCTTTTTTTTGAATAAATAAATCTATAACAAGACTGCAGATTTATTGAACTTATTAATACCAACAAAAGAAAGAAAAGGACAAACCTAAACGCATTTCAAGTCACAAGATGCATATGTAGTGTGCTGGATTTGAATATCAGTTTTAGTTTTTTTTTTTTTCGATTGTTCATGTTTTGTAACCAAACTTAGAACACATAGATGACACTGTCTACGGCAGAAAACACGATGCTTGAGCAAGTTGTTTCTTGTTTGTCAATACGTTTTGTGAGGTTGTAAACTTTTTGCAGATTCTGTCCAAGTGGTCAATATTGGCTTTAAAAAAAAAGATTATTACTTCTTAGTTCATTTTATTTATGGTAGTTTGACTTTGTACAAACTTTAATAAATAAATAAAATGAGGTTCTTGAAATTTGGTTTTCTTTGATAAGAAGATACCATCAAAATTTAAAGGTAATTAAGTTCTACAGTGATGATTATACAAATTATATTGTATGCGATGAAGTGTAAGTTAGTCAAGAACTCACGTGTTCTGAAGATGGAAGTTGTAAAGATGAGAACGTTGAGGTGGATGTATGAAATACTAGGAGATATAAGATTATAAATGAATAGTTAATTGGAATCGGACAAGATAAGGAAAACGATATTGACATGGAATTTTAGACACGTGAAGAAGAGAAGTGTAGATGCTAAAATGTCTAATGAAGAGGTGTGAGATGTTGGCAATGGCGAGCGTCAAGAGAGGTAGAGACAGATCGAATAAGTATTTCCTCTATCCCTAACATAAACGATATTTTCGCTTGAGGTTATCAAGGCCATAACTTTAGATTGAGGATTCGAAGGTCGCAAATTAAGGTAAAAAATTAGTTTTACGCTTTAATGTTATGTAAGCTTGGTGATCATACTTAGATATTCTTTCTTATCATTGGTATAAGCACTATTCTCATAGCAATATTAGCACTATTGACATAAAATAAGGGAAAGTTGACACATAGGTACAAGTCCTATATAGAATTGCCATATGTTAACCCAAGTGTTAAAGCAAATTTTAGGCCAAAAAGATTTGGCACTACGTAGCCAAATTTTTTATTAATGTATTTTACCTGACCAAAAATAGAGGAGTGGATGTCTTCTTTTTTTTTAATTATTATTTTTATTTTATAATTTCACATTATTGTATCCTTAAAATTAGGAATTTTATTTTATTTTTCTTAAGAAAAGGCTTAAAATGGGCCTCAACTATTTGAACCGGTAAAAAAATTATCCTCCATCCACCTTTCAACCCCAAATACATTCGACGTCACTCTTTTGATTCAAAAGTACTTTCATTTCTAACGACTCAATCCCTAAATAATATTAATGGATTCATTAATTACGTATCAACTTATTTTAAATCAAGCCTAATTAAAACCTCAAGTGCAACACATAACTCGGTATCCAACTAAAAATTCTATACTCGGTATTCAACTGAATTGAGTCTTCTTTGAACGTGAAGCTTCAAAGCTTCATTAAT